TGTAAAGGAGATGGTATAGTCTGGCAGATGTTTTTGATGTTTGATAGCCATGTCCTGAGTTATTCAGTATTGTTGACAGAGGAAACAGTGCAATAACAAATAGTAATGGTGATAATGAATATCCTTGAAATATTCCTCTCTTTATATTAACCTCTCCCAGCTCTCACCATTGATCTGCATCTGTGTCTTCCATTGTGCCATCGATCTTTGCACAAATTTTCTGATGTTTCTACTGACTCCTGTTATTTCTAGGCACTTGATTATCCAGTCATGTGGCAGAGAGTCAAATGCCTTTTTGTAATCAATCCATGCCACATTCAGGTTGGTCTTCCTTTTCTTGCAGTTTTCCAAGATCATTTTGTTTATTAGGAGTTGATGTTTTGTTCCTCTGCTATTGGGGCAGTTTCCTTTCTGCTCAGATGGAAAGAGATTGTTTTCAACTAGATGCTGTTGTACTGCATCAGCTACCACACCAGTTAATAATTTGAAAGTTGTTGGTAAGCAGGTAATTGGCCTGTAGTTGCCTGGTGTTGCCCCTTTTGCTGGATTTTTCATTATTAGGTAGGTTTTCCCAGTTGTTAGCCACTTTTCAATTTCTCCTCCTTGTAGTATATTGTTGAACTGCTTGGCAATGAGTGGGTGTATAACAGTTAGATGTTTCAACCAAAACCCATGCAGTTCATCTTCACCTGGTGCTGACCAATTTTTGATTTTCTTTGCTCTTTTTTCTACCATTTTTGTTGTTATTACTAGTTCTTTCATTTCAACTTCTGTTTTATTTGCATCCACCTCTTTTAACCAAGCCGCATCCTTGTTGTATTTCTTTGGGTTATCCCATATCTGCTTCCAGAACTGCACTGTTTCTTCCTTGTCAGGTACTGACTGATTCCTTGCAGTTTCTCCATTGATGGATTGGTAGAAACGTTTCTGATTGGATTGAAATTGGAGGTTCTGCCTATAGTTTGCAATTCGAGCTTCATATCTACTGATTTTCCTGGCTATAGCTGTTATTTGTTGCTTTATTATTTCCAGTGCTTCCTTGATCTTCCTTGTTTCTAAGTGGTATTTCTTGATTAGGTATTCTTTGGTCTTCTTGTTCTTCAGCTTCTTTTCTTTCATCTGTTCTAGCTTGCTTGCATGTGATCTTAACTTGCTGATCTTATTTTCTAGTCTAACCTTCCATTTTTGTGGTGCACTGTTTGTTTGTTTTTCTTTTTTGTTGATTTTGCATCCCAGGTATTCTGTTATAACTGCAGCTGTGCTGTACATTAGTTGGTTTGTTTCTTGCAGTGAATTGGTGCTTATACTTGATATTGCAGTATTTGCATCTTTTAATGCTTGTGCTAGCTGTTTCTTTGGAACAAGCTTCAATGCAGGCAGCCTGTGCTGTTCTACATGCTCAGTTATTCTTTGTTTCAATTCTTTTATTTCTTTAGTTAAAAGATTTTGTTCTTCCTGAGGTATAGGTGCCTGGTTTCCAAATGAGAACAGTTGTGTATCTCTGCTGGATTCCTTCACTGCCAACTCCCTCTGGTTTGCCTCTACATTCTGAATTACTTCTGGTAAGGCTTTGATTTCTTTGCCCTGGGTAAACCTTTGCAGTTCATCCAATTCTGTTTCTGTGAATACTTTATTTCATATTATAAATCGGCGTTCGTCTGCTAGTCTCTGTTCTGTTATTTCTGATTCTGGATGTTGTTCTTTCCAGAACTGGTGCATTCGTTTTAGGTATCCTCTTCTTGTTGGACTTGATCTGTAATAACAGATCATTATTTCTTTGTTTTCAATCACTTTGTATCTGCGACTGGTAAACACCTTTTCTTCCAATAGTTCTGCAGCTGCTGGCCCTGGTTGCTCAGCCAACAGTTCTGAGTCCTGTAACCCATTTTTTACCAGATATCCAGGAACTCCAATATCTAGTGCTGACCTTGTTAACCCGGGTGACATCCGAGCCAGTATGGCATTCTCTAACTGGGCGCTATCTAACAAAATTAAATTCAGTGGTGAAAAAAGTAAGGTTCTACATTTAGGCAAGAAAAACCAAATGTACAGGTGTAATATAGGTGGTACCTTGCTCAATAGTAACTGTGAGAGGGATCTTGGAGTCCTAGTGGACAATCACTTAAATATGAGCAAGCAGTGTGCTGTAGCTGCCAAAAAAGCCAGCACAATGCTAGGCTGCATTAACAGAGAAATAGAATCAAGATCACGTGAAGTATTAATACCACTTTACAATGCCTTGATTAGACCATACTTGGAATACTGCATCCAGTTTTGGTCACCACGATGTAAAAAAGATGTTGAGAGTCTAGAAAGAGTACAGAGAAGAGCAACAAAGATGATTGGGGACTGGAGGCTAAAACATATAAGGAATGGTTGCTGGAATTGGATATGTCTAGTTTAATGAAGAGAAGGATGAGGGGGGGACATGATAGCAGTGTTCCAATACCTCAAGAGTTGCCACAAAGAAGAGGGAATCAAGCTATTCTCTAAAGCGCCTGAAGGCAGGACAAGAAGCAATGGATGGAAACTAACCAAGGAGAGAAGCAACCTAAAACTAAGGAGAAATTTCCTGACAGTTAGAACAATTAACCAGTGGAACAACCTGCCTCCAGGAGCAGTGAATGCCCCAACACTGGAAGTTTTTAAGAAGAGACTGGACAGCCATTTGTCCGAAATGGTATAGGGTTTCCTGCCTGAGCAGCGGTTTGGACATGATGACCTCCATGGTCCTTTCCAACTTTATCATCATCATCATCATCATTATTACTATTATTATTATTATAAATGTAAACTCGCCAGGATAGTTGCCAGCCCAGGAGCTATCCAATATCAAATTGCTAACTTTTAACAGATAATGGTAAATTCAAAGAACTTCAAAAAGATCTCTACTTTTCTTTATTGTTTATACAAAGAGCTTAGAATATACAGACCACAGCATATTGTAGATTCCTCTTAGAAATGTGAGCAAAACTGGCTATCTGTCTGTTAAAGAATCATCTAATACAATGGGCTATGGAACAACAAATATCTTCAAAACTGGAAAATATTGCATCAATCTGTATATAAAAAACCTTATTTAATTCACATCCAAAATATTTCAAACTGCTGGTTGAGGAAAATTTGAAATTAAAATTACTGCAAGAAACAACAAAACCTCAGAAATGTTAATGATACCACAATGATAGGTGTGAGTGAGAAAGACTCAAGGAATTTCTTGTCAAAGGTAAAAGTTGAAAAGCAAATACAGCTGCTGGTGTGCTGCCAACAATAAAAAATAGCTGAGATTTTGTCCAACTTATGATAAGAGATAAAATTGAAGAATCTTCCGAAGCTTTCTGTTGATAGGCTTAAAAATTATAGAGCATGGGTGTCAAATTCGCTGCGTCATGTGACATGTATCATGACTCTTTTTGCATTGCTGGCAATGGGGTGGGCGCAGTTTCAGTATGATGAAGCCCTGTTATATGGGGATGGTGAGTGTAGTCATGAAAAAGAGTCATCTATTACATGGAAAAAATACTATGATAGATCTAAACAAAATATTAAAATGCAAAGAAATCATACTGACAACAACACAGTGCTATGATTTTATTAGTTACATAGTTGTGAAAATTGAATCAGAAAGTCTGAACATAAAATAATGTTTTTGAACACATTAATGTGTTTGTGCTATGACAAAGTGGTTGAGAATAATTTGAACCAGAAGAAAAACAAAAAACTCAGTACTAAATAAAAGAAAACAAGGAAAACTCAGGGAAAGCACTAATAACAAAACTATAGGTAACCATTTAATATAATGTGAAGTCAAGAGATTCTGAAAAGACCCTGATGCTTGCAAAATGAAAAGCAATTGAAATAAAGGCTGACAGAAGACAAAGTGACCACAATCTCTCACAAATATAAGCTTACAAGTGCTGAGGGAAACAGTCACTGCCAGACAATCCTGAGTCAGAAAGAACTGAATGACAACAGCTGCCATTTGAATCCCTGCTATCTTCATATTTTATATGAAGACTACTGATGAGCTACATGTTTTCCTCAGATATATAAAAAGAAGAAATTTCCCTGTTCCTCTGAAAAAATATGTGAAATAAAACATGGGTTTTGTATATAATGTATATATAATGAATATATACAATAAATGATGAAGTGTGTTACTTTTCTATGAATTAGATGTAATTCACCTGAGTCCTCACTCTGGCACCATTTTTTTCTTCCTACCTTTTCCACAAGTGCAGGGGCATCTTTTTCATTAAAGCTGAAATAGGGTTTGGGTTTAGGGTTTTTCATCAGAGTGAAAAAGCATTGACCTGGAAATGTTTTGGCTGATTTTCTGTGCCAAAATTACCTTGACCCACATCATGATTATGTAGCAGAACTGCTATTCCAGAACTGCTATTACATATTTCTTCTTTACTAAAGAACTAATATCAGTTGCATGAAAACTTTTTGAAACAAATTTTTGGCCCAAATTCTAAATAGGGTGCAGATGCGAACTGAAGTCAGTACAAATAAAATTCTTGAAAGAGTAGCCCTACTTATTGCCCTAGCCATTAATCAAGGTTAGTTTGGAAACAGTAAGGCTTAAAATTCAGGTATGAGTGTGGATTTTGATGGCTAATTATTGGCTGAAAATACAAATTTCCCAACAAACTTGCCATCTTCCCCTCAAACTGAAAATTGCTGGTATAGCAGACACATGTCTCAAATGGGTTTATGAATATTTTCCCCCTAACTAATGAGTTCCCCATCAGAAAACATTCTTCTCTGCCAAGATTATGTAATCTATAATGTTTTTGTTTTTTCCAAACATTATTACTCAATTGAGTGACCACTAAATGTACTGGGATTTCAATGTGCCAAATTTCTTACTTCATTGGCTTGGAATCCTGGAAGCTAAAAAAGGTTTCCTGCACATGGAAGTTCACATTATCACAAATAATAATATATAATGTATCTCATGGCTTTTTTCTATGAATAAATTAACTTATACTTACAGCTTTCCAGTTGCATTATACAGGTCTGGACATCCATTGGGAAATTTTTGAGATCCATTGGACAGGAAAGTATTAAAGTCAACCTGAAAGAATGCAAAGCAAATGAGGCAAAAAGAATATTTTCTTCACATACATTTCCTTACATTCATCTACAATAAGGAGAAAAATTGGCAAATCCAGTATATGTATAATTAATACAAAACAATAAACTGCAGTTCATTTAAATGATTAAATATTATAAAGTTGTCTTTGTATTAGACTCCATGTGATTTTAATACATGTGATTTTAAAACTGCAATTCTGTCAACCTTTTTTGGAAACAAACCTCATAAAATCAGAAAAACCTATTTATGAATAAATATCTTTAAACTTTGTATTTTACAGTATTCTCTTTGTGCAATTTGTGCTTATGTTCAGCAATATGGTACATTATAACCTAATCCTATGTATCTTTCTTAGTGATTTGTGAAATTATTATTAAAACAACATATTCAGTTTTTCAAATAAGTCATATGAACTATTTCTGCTACAAAGAATATTAATCCTTAATTTCAAATAAGAGTAGCTTTGTTATCTTCTGTACACTGTAGACTTAAAAATCTGAGACAATCAATGAAAGAATTTTGACAGAGAATAGATGATAATATAAAGAACAAATGATTAGAAAGCCTAATCCAGATACATTTTGAAAAAAGTAAATATCTTTGAATAAGCACAAAACCCTTATTCAGAATCTACAACATGTGTATTCTGCAATGTCTTGTATGCTAATAAACTATAACTTAAACCTCATGTACGCAATGGAGTTATGGAACATTTAAGGAAAAGGAAGAATATTTAAATATTGAATGTAGTTATATGACAGGCTTTTGATAGCAACAAAAATAGAAAGCTTGCAGCATAAGAATACAAATTGGCTTTCTAGACAAACTGAAAGAGGGAACTCTTTAATTGTTGAGGGAAATTTGAGAAGTTAAAAATTCTACTAAGGCTTTTAGTAATTGTTATTTATAATTACTGATTTTCCCCCTTTTTACTCTCTTCCCTAAAAAATTCTGAATATTGTGGTTGTACTTTGTAGAAGTATTCTGGGAATGTAAAAGAAATGGTGACGGTTGCTGAGGTGAACACGTGTGCTTGTTGTTTAAAGCAAGAAGCACACAAGAACAAAACTGATCCATTCTCCAAGAACAAAAGTATAGAAGTTATGACTTTTGTTATCACAAGATATCCTATGTCTGACTTAATTTTACACTAAGAATTAATACATCTTATCCTTAGCAAAGTTCTGCCTTTTTGTTTTCAAAATTAAAATGTCCAATATTTTGGGGATCAGTTAGTTTTTATATTACTTATGACATTTGAATCAATCTTCACTAATTGCATAAGTTATTCTCCAGTACAGGAGATGGAGAATCCACCAATGGGTTTTCTTTGTCTGCCTACTCTTGAGACCAAGTTAGCCAAACTTGACACACACCCTGTTGCTAGGACACCCAGTCTTGACTTGGTCTCAAGCTCTTGAAGACGTGTCAGGTTTGGCTCTCTGATTTCATCAGTCTCCATTAGCTAGCAGATAGATTTCCATTGTTGGATTCTCCTCTTACCTTTCAAATTCAGCAGGTTGGTGGATTCTTTGATCCTCTCCTCACACCCCATCTCTCTTCCAGAAGTGCTGGGATCAGCGCTGCCTCAGATCGGATGATCTGAGGCTTGGTTGGGGGGGGGGGGTGACTGCAGCCGTTTTTTTCTTTCCCAGGGCTCTGGGTGAGTTCCCTTCCTTCTCCTCTCACTCATGGGACCCCTTGTGCTGCTGCTCCGACCAGCCCCTCAGTGTAAATGATCCCATGAGGCTTCAGGCACCTTTCCCAACGGCCAGCAAGTCGCGGCCGTCATTTTGGGTGCTGCCGAAGCCTCCGAGAACTGAAAATGAGCTGTTTGCCTCATGAGGCTTCAGACAGCTTCCCCAATGGCCAGCAAGTCACGGCCACCATTTTGGGTGCCGCCGAAGCCTCTGGCGATCCAAAACGAGCCATTTGATCATTAAAGCAGGTTCCCTTCACAGACCAGCCAAAATTAAGTTTCCAGCTAGTGGGGTTGGTGGAAGGGCTCCTGGCTCCACATGGAGCTTCAGATCACCCTGAAGCATTCGGAGCAGCCGCCATTTTGACCGCACCCTTTTTGCAGATTATTCAGTCCTCAATGGTGGTTTGCTTGTAGGGGCACTTTTCACTCTCTCCCCCTGTGGATTGGTTTTTAGGATTGCCAGCAATTAGACTAATCAGTTTTACTGCAGCCCTTAACTGGAGTAGAAGGGTGCTTGGCCATTCTCAGCCAGCTTTGATCCTAGGCCACCATTTTGAGCTCATGAGTGAACTCTCCTTTAGTAGCTCCTCTGCCAGGCCTTCAAGTCAGGCTCTCTGCATCCTTCATTGGACTTTCTGGTGCACCTTGACTGGCCACCTAAGGCCTCCAAGCGGAATCCTTAGCAGGTCCCAATTGTGCCTTCAGCCCTGCCCTCACAGCCGTGACCTAAGCCCAGAGAGAATTATTGACTGGTCAGGTGGTCAGGGGAGCAGTCCATATTACTTGCTCCCATTTCTCTTCCCGCCAACTGCTTGCCTGCCAGAGCTCCCCCTCAGGTTTCATGAGATAGCTCGACCCAGGATGGAGGATTCACCAGTACCTCATCCCATGAGCACCGCCTCTCCGTCCTCAAGTTACAGCAGGCACAAAACCTCCAAACAGGAGGCAGCAGGCAAGCTCAAGAACAAGTCTAAGGCCACCCTGAAAAAGCCTTCCAAGTTGGTGGGAGAAGCAAGCCAGCCACAGGCACCAGGCTCTGGAGAAGGAGTTCTCCAGAGTACAGAGGCAGGCCAGGCCAGACACGGATCATTTGGTGGCCCCGGATTTTGACATCCCTTTAGGTCCCTCAACCTCGGCTCAGGACGTGTGGTCCTTGGCGGATGCCTCCATCACAGCGACAGATCAGAACACAGCTGCCAGCCCGCCCACAGTTTGAGGACAGGAATCCTCGCGCTCGGTCCCTGAGGCCACCTTCACCCCAATGGCAGCTGGACTCAGGAAGCCAGAACTCAGAGACATTTTCTCCGATACCGCCTTGAGGCCCTGCTCTCTAAAATTGTAGACCGGGCACTCGCAGCACGGGCTTATCAACTGCCTGGACAGGAGGCTTCTACCTCTGTTATTCCACCTTATATACCCACCACCTAATGAGAAGGAAGGACTCACTGGAAAAGGGCCTAATGCTGGGAAAGATTGAGGGCAATAGAAGAAGGAGACGACAGAGAATGAGATGGCTGGATGGAGTCACTGAAGCAGTAGGTGTGAACTTAAATGGACTCCAGAAGATGGTAGAGGTCAGGAAGACCTGGAGGAACATTGTCCATGGGGTCGCGATGGGTCGGACACGACTTCGCAATTAACAACAACAAATGTACCTTCAGCAGGGATTCCCCTATATCAGGAACCCACATCTCCCGCCCATTCCTCAATTAGTGGCTACTCATCCCCGACGGGAAGTGATCAGCCGGATTTCAACTTGTAAGAGAAGGAAGAGCTTCCCCCTGACCCCTCCCCATTAGGAGGCCTTTTCAATTCGGCCTTATTCCTTCCATTACTCCGCAAAGCCACCACGGCGGCCAGCATAGGGTCCAATCAGTTCCCTCAGCCGCAATCCACATCCAAGGCAAGCCTGAACCCGGTTTTCTTCAAGGCCGTGGCAATCCAGCACCATGTTCCCTGTCCCTCTATATTTCTTAAAAGGGGTTATGAAGCAATGGGTTTCCCCATCATCCTTCCCCTCCATGGTGAAACAGACAAAAAGTTATTTAGCACCTCTAACTGAAGCTCTGGAGGTACCAAAGGTGGATGAAGCCTGGACTCCCCTCGTGTCCCAGACTGCGGTCTCCAGGGATATGGCTGAGGCGCTCAAGGCAGAGGATAGAAAATGGGACTTAGCCTTCCGAAAGACCCATCAATCGGCCGCGTGGGCAATTAAAATGGCCTCTTGTGCGTCCTTTTTTATCTGAACCACTCTCCTATGGCTTCATCAGCTTCAGGCCAGACTCCCTCCCAAAGACATTCAGACCCATCAGGACCTAAGCAAAATGATTGCGGCGACAGAGTATGCATCAGACACAACTCTTCAATTGGCCAACTTTGCTTCCAGGTCCTTAGCCTCCAACGTTACAGGTAGGAGAATGCTATGGCTTAAGCACTGGCAGGCTGATGCCAAGGCCAAATGGCATCTCGCAACCGCCCCCTACCAAGGCAACCACCTCTTTGGGGAGTCCCTGAACCCGTACCTTGTGGAAAACAAGGACAAGCAGAAGGTCATGGCTCATCTCACCAAACAGTCTGACAAGCATGCCACTCCTTATCCCCATAGGTAGTCCTTTTGGCCGGCTTTTGGCTCAACAACCACCCAACCCTCCCGTTCTTTCATGCCCAGATAGGACCGCCCATATGACCATCCATATGACAGGGCAGGCTTTCAGCCCAGACAACAGAATCAAAACAAATGGCCATTTCGAGGGACAGGATGTCCCTTCAGGAGGTCCAAGTGACTCTCATGTCACTGTCCCCATAGGGGGCAGGCTGACCCACTTCTTCCATCAGTGGGAGGTTACAACCATGGATAGCTGGGTATTACAGACTGTTCAATACAGCCTGTCTCTCGAGTTCCTGTCCAGCCCCCCCGGGTCATTTCATCACCTGCCCCACGTCTCGGGAGCCAATCAAACGGGGGCTTATGCAGGAGGCCATTCACCATCTTTTGGAAATAGAGGCCATAGAACCGGTACCACCAGATTGCAGGGGAAGGAGATTCTACTCCATTCTCTTCATGATCCCCAAGACCTTGGGGGGATGGAGGGCAATTCTAGACCTCAAGGGTCTGAATTATTACATCGCTTACAAAAAATTCAAGATGCAATCACTACATCCTGGGAGGCATCAGACAGGGAGACTTCCTGGTGTCAATAGACTTCACAGAAGCATATCTCCACATCCCCATCCTCCCAGATCACCGGTGGTTCCTCAGGTTCTGTTACAGGGGCCACCACTTCCAATACAGGGCCCTCCCGTTTGGCCTTTCCTCGGCGCCCAGGATGTTCACTAAGATCCTGGCTGTACTAGCCACCCATCTATGGAAGGTACCGGTACGCGTCCAGTGCTAGCTGGACAACATCTTGATCCAAGTGTCCTCCTTCCGGGTGGCCCAGTCGGATCTGGACCTAATGATTCAGGTCCTCCAACAGCATGGGTTCATGGTGAACTTCTGGAAAAGCCAGACAGTTCCCTCATCCAGACCTCTGCACCTGGGAGCCATCATAGACACCACCAATGGTATGGTCTATCTCTCCCAGGAGCGGTTGGACAGCATCAGGGACCTAGCTCGCCAAGTGTACAAGGACCGCACCATCCCACTGGTCTTGCTTTCTCAACTCCTAGGGAAAATGGTCACCTGCATAGCCATAGGTCCCTGGGCCAGACTCCACTTGCGGGAGCTCCAATGGTTCCTTCTACCATTCCAGCGGTTGAACGCCAGCGCATCCAGCCGGCAGGTGAGGCTCCTGGTCGAAACCCTGAGATCTCTTCACTGGTGGTTCTCACAGGCAGTTACCAAGGAATCCTTTCAAGGAACCCAACTGCCTCACCATCACGACAAACGCCAGCCTGTTCGGCTGGAGAGCCCACCTACAGTCTCAGTTTGCATAGGGCCATTGGCCCCATGCAGACTTGAAATACAACATCAACTGACTGGAACTCAGGGCCATTCACTTAGCTCTTCTCCACTCCCACCACTGGATCAGAGGCCGTCACATATTGGTCCTTACAGACAACGTGGCATCCAAGACCCACATGAACTGACAGGGAGCACCAGGTCCAGGTCCCTCATGTCCGAGGCCAGGTTGCTGGGATCCTGGGCAGAGTCCAACCTGGCATCCATAAGGGCCGAGCACATCTCAGGGGAGAAGAACCGGCAGGCAGACTTTCTGAGTCGCTCTATGATAGATCCCTCGGAATGGGGACTACATCCGGATCTTTTCTCTGGATGTAGTCCCCATTCTTCGGCCAACCGGCCCTCAACCTATTCACATTGTCGAGCAATGCCCAACTCCCCAGGTATTTCTCCCGCTCTTACTTCCCAGGGGTGGAGGGGATGGATGCCCTGCAGACTCTGTGGCCAGAGGGCCTACTTTACGCCTTCCCCCCCACTCATCCCGGCGACCATCCGCAAACTGTTCCAAGAGCAGGCGGAGGTGATCCTCGTGGCCCTGTACTGGCTGCGGAGGCCCTGGTTTGCAGACCTAATGAATCTCTCCCGTTCTCCCCCATGGAAGATTCCCCCGCATCGCATGTCCTTATACCAGGGGGTCCTTCAACACCCGGACCCTCAGTGGTTGCAGTTAGCCGCCTGGTGCTTGAGTGCAAGATCATGACTCAAGAATTGTTCTCGCCACGGGCAATCACTATGATTCAGGCCTCTCGTAGGCCGGCGACCAATCGCATTTATGATTCCACCTGGAAAAATTTTTGCCATTGGTGCAGAAGGCGCCAACTGGATGTTTACCAATTGACTATTTCTCAGATCGTAGACTACCTTCTCGATGGTCTTGACAGAGACCTGGCCCCTGCGACCATTCGCAGGCAGGAGTCGGCCCTATCAACGTTGCTTACTTGCACAAATTCAGTCCCTCTAGCTCACCATCCTAGGATACGCGCCTTCATCAAGGGCGCTTGCAATACTAGGCCTTCAATGGTGTACAGGTACCCCTCTTGGGAGCTGCCTTGTGTGCTTCGCGCACTCACGAAACCGCCCTTTGAGCCCATTACTACTATACTGTTACAGGCCTTATCTCACAAGGTCGCATTCCTGGTCACCATCACATCAGCCAGATGTATTTCCGAACTTGTTGCTCTCTCGACCAGGAACGATCTTTGTATCTTCCACCAGGACCGGGTGGTCCTTCGGTTGGATCCTGCCTTCGTGCCCAAGGTCAACTCACTCTTCCATAGGGCACAGGAAGTCATTTTGCCTATTTTTTGCCCCAATCCTTCCCATGACTTGGAGCGGCAGTGGCGCACACTGGACATCCGCAGGGCTCTCGGCGTTAAATCAAATGCACAGCACCTTTTCGCCGGTCTGAAGCCCTCTTTATTTCCTTCCTCCTGGCTTCCCTGGGGCAGAAGGTGTCCGCTTCCACCATAGGGAGGTGGATCAAGGCTTGTATTGCAGAAGCGTACCAGTCTTCTTCCCTGCCAGCTCCAAGTCATATCACAGCCCACTCCACTTGCAGTGCTGCGACCTCTGCAGCATGGGCCACTCAGGCATCTATTGAGGAGATTTGCAGGGTTGCAACATGGTCCTTGCCCTCCCCATTTGTACGCCATTATAGAACTGACTGCTTCGCTTCAGCGGACACCTCCTTTGGTCAGAGGGTCCTCCAGCAGATGGTCTCCGGGGATGTAGAGCTGACCTTATCTGTTTCCCACCCACTGGGACAGTGAGGCTTTGGTATGTCTCATTGATGGATTCTCCATCTCCTGTACTGGAGAAGGGGCGTTGTCTTACCTGAATGCCTTTTCTCAGTACAGAGATGGAGAATCCACACCCACCCCTTAGGTCAGTTAGGCTGGAGTTAGGGAGCCAACACCTAGTTCTACCATCAGCCTCTTTCGCCCTTGTCAAGATTGGGTCTTCTAGCAAAAGAGGGCATGTCAAGTTTGGCTAAGATGGTTTCAAGAGCAGGCAGACAGAGAAAACCCATTGGTGGATTCTCCATCTCCGTACTGAGAAAAGGCATTCAGGTAAGACAATGCCCCTTTTATATCTTGAAGATCAAGTTTTATACTTATATACATCAATGTGAAAAAATGTATAGTCTATAAAAGCAACAATCTTTATGCCTAAATGGAACTTGGATTACCATGAAATTGTATCATAACCTCATATTTTTGTGCTCAACAATTTACCTTATAGAATAAAGAACATTTCCATTTTTAAAAATTCGAAGCAACTTATTGTCAGTTGTTACTTCATGAAAGTTGGCACCCTTCTCATTGGCAAAAAATAAATCAGGTTTCCAGATTGAATCCAGCATGGATGGATCTAAATCTAAAGAGTCATCTGGATATTCATTATAAGCAAGACGTGGATCATTCCAGTTCTGACGAAGAAAAATATTCACTCGATAATCCTAAGGAAATAAATAAAAAATGAACAAAATTATTGTTTCATTTAATTGAACAATATATACAGTACTTAATTAACTTTTACAAAAATGATAACAAATTATTTAGCCTTACACCTAATTTAAAGATATACTTTATGATAGCAGTGTTCCAATATCTCAGGGGCTGCCACAAATAAGAGAGAGTCAAGCTATTTTCCAAGGCACCTGAAGTCAGGACAAGAAGGAAGGAGAGAAGAAACCTAGAACTAAGGAGAAACTTCCTGACAGTTAGAACAATTAACCAGTGGAACAACCTGCCTCCAGAAGTAGTGAATGCTCCAACACTGGAAGTTTTTAAGAAGAGACTGGAAAGCCATTTGTGCAAAATGGTATAGGGTTTCCTGCCTGAGTAGGGGGTTGGACTAGATGATGTCCAAGGTCCCTTCCAACTACTACTACTACTACTACTACTACTACTACTACTACTACTACTACTACTACTACTACTACTGTTATGGATCATCGCACAGTCAGCCAGATGTTTAGATTGGATTTGGCATTTTGTCTACCTATCGAGTCCTTACCCAGGACCTGGGATAGGCAGATGTGGATGTTTGATGGTATTACAGATATCGTCGCAGGATGGAAGCAGTTCCTAATAAGGCCGCCTTTTGCAATTGACTAATAGCGAATTTGTCAATGCCAATGGTGTTCAAGTGGTGCTCCATTTGTTTTGGGATTGCACCCAAGGAGCCTATGACTATTGGTACTACCCTTGCTTGCTTTTGCCACAGTCTTTCTATTTTTATTTGTAGGTCTTTATATTTTGTTATCTTCTCCAGTTCTTTCTCGTCTATTCTGCTGTCTCCAGGCACTGCCACGCCCACTATCCAGACTTTTTTGTCTTTCTTATCGACAGTTGTTAAGTCTGGGGTGTTATGTTGCAGGTGCTTGTCTGTTTGAATTCTGAAGTCCCAGAGCAGTTTAATTTTATCATTTTCTATGACTTTCTCTATTTATGATCCCACCAGTTTTTGCTTACAGGCAAATGATATTTTTTGCAGATCTTCCAATGCACCATTGTTGCTACTTTGTCATGCCGCTGCTTGTAGTCAGTCTGTGCAATCTTCTTGCAACAACTTACCAAGTGGTCCACTGTTTCTTCAGCTTCTTTGCATAGGCGGCACTTACTGTCTGTTGCTGTCTTCTCAATTTTGACTTTATATGCATTTGTCCTTAAGGCTTGGTCTTGTGCAGCCAGAAGTAGTCCCTCGGTCTCTTTCTTCAATTTCCCTGCTCTTAGCCATTGCCAGGTCTTGTTATTATCTGCTTTCCCAGCTATTTTTTTTAATGTATTGGCCATGTAGTGCTTTGTTTTCCCATGCCTCTATTCTGTTCTTCATTTGGTCTTTCTTGTAGGCCAGTTTGGTCTCTCCAGTAGTTAGTAATCCTTCCTGATATACTAATTTCAGTGCATCTTCATCATTGTTCTTCAGATATTCTTCCAAAGTCATTTTTTCTTCTTCAACCATCTGATGTACTTGTAGAATTCCACGCCCACCTATTTGCCTTGGTAGATAAAGTCTATCAATGTCACTGCGTGGATGAAGGGCGTGATTCATTGTCATTATTTTTCTGGTCTGCCTATCCATTGCTTTTAGTTCTGCTTGAGTCCAGTCCACGATTCCAGCTGTGTACCTAATGACTGGGATTGCCCAGGTGTTGATTGCCTTTATGGTATTTCCTCCATTGAGTTTGGATTTTAATATCTTCTTCACTCTCTTGATGTATTCACATCTAATCTTTTTCTTGACTTCAGTGTGCTTGATGTTGTCAGCTTGAAGGATACCCAAGTATTTGTAGTATTCTTCCTCGTCCAGACTCTTAATGTTATTTTCGTGGGGCATCTTGATTCCTTCAGTTTTCACTATTTTTCCTTGTTTGATAGTAAGTGTGGCACATTTGTCCAAGCCAAACTCCATTACAATATCTTGGCTATATATACGGACAGTGTTGAGCAGTGATTCTATTTCATATGATGTTTTTCCATACAGCTTCAGATCATCCATGTAAAGGAGGTGGGATAGTCTGGCAGATGTTTTTGATGTTTGATAGCCATGTCCTGAGTTGTTGTTGTTGTTGTTATTATTATTGTTATTATTATTATTATTATTATTAGGCATATTATTGTATGAAACCTAACTAATTAATGGGCATATTCTGATCTCTATTCTCTTCAGGAATTTGTATAAAAGCAAAGTTCTCAAATTTTGTATAAACACAAAGAGAATATTTATAAATAGTTTCATGTTTGTGTAAAGGGGTTACTAAATAAACCTTACTTTTACTCTTCTTATTCTGCATTTATCAGAAAGAAATAGAATTTATTTTTTTAAATTAACAAAGACACTGATTGGATTCAGATATTGTGCCATATCATTAATTTACTTAACAATCATTTTACCAAATAACCAGATTTTGCTGGATTCACTAACATGCAAAGGTCAAAGAAGCAAGCTTCATTTAATAATAATAATAATAATAATAATAATAATAATAATAATAATAATAATAATAATAATAATAATAAAGTTGGAAGGGAGCTTGGAGGTCATCACGTCCAACCCCCTGCTCAGGCAGGTAACCCTATACCATTTTGGACAAATGGTTGTCCAGTTTCTTCTTAAAAACTTCCAGTGTTGCAGCATTCACTGCTTCTGGAGGAAAATTGTTCCACTGGTTAATTGTTCTAACTGTCAGGAAGTTTCTCCTTAGTTCTAGGTTGCTTCTCTCCTTGATTAGTTTCCATCCATTGCTTCTTGTCCTGCCTTCAGGTGCTTTGGAAAATAGCTTGACTCCCTCTTCTTTGTGGCAGCCCCTGAGATATTGGAACACTGCTATCATGTCCCCCCTCGTCCTTCTCTTTGTTAAACTAGACAAACCCAATTCCAGCAACCGTTCCTTATATGTTTTAGCCTCCAGTCCCCTAATCATCTTTGTTGCTCTTCTCTGTACTCTTTCTAAAGTCTCAACATCTTTTTTACATCGTGGTGACCAAAACTGGATGCAGTATTCCAACTGTGGCCTTATCAAGGCATTGTAAAGGGTTATTAATATTTTGCGTGATCTTGATTCTATCCCTCTGTTAATTCAGCCTAGCTTTTTTGACAGCTGAGGCACACTGCTGACTCATATTTAAATGATTGTCCACTAGGACTCCGAGATCCCTCTCACAGTTACAGTACTACTATTGAGCAAGGTGCCCCCTATGCTATACCTGTACATTTGGTTTTTCTTGCCTAAATGTAGAACCTTACTTTTTTCACTATTGAATTTTATTTTGTTAGATAGCACCCAGTGTTCAAATCTGTCCAGATCCTCCCGTATCCTAAGCCTATCTTCTGGAGTGTTGGCTATTCCTGCCAGCTTGGTGTCGTCTGCAAATTTGATGAGTTCCCCATCTATCCCCTAGTCCAAATCATTGATGAAGATGTTGAAGAGCACTGGGCCCAGAACAGAGCCCTGGGGCACCCACTACACACTTCCCTCCATGCAGATGTGGTTCCATTGAGGATCACACACTGAGTACGGCGAGTCAGCCAGCTATGGATCCATCTGGTGGTGGTGCTGTCTAACCCACATTTTTCTATCCTATCAAGTAGTAGGGTGTGATCTACTTTGTCAAATGCCTTACTGAAATCCAAGTAAATTATATCCACAGCATTCGTCTGGTCTACTAATTTTGTCATTTGGTCAAAGAACGCAATAAGATTTGTCTGGCATGATCCGTTTTTGACAAACCCGTGTTGGCTTTTAGTAATGACTTTGTTTGCCTGTAGGTATTTGCTGATTTATTGTTTGATTATCTTTTCCAGAATCTTCCCAGGTATTGAGGTCAGGCTGATAGATCAGTAATTTCCTGGATCCATTTTTTTTCCTTTTTTGAAGTTGGGAACTACATCAGCTCTTTTCAGTCCTCTGGTAGTTCCCCAGTGCTCCAGGATCTTTGAAAAATATAGTTCAGTGGTTCTGAGATCATATCTGCCAGTTCCTTGAGAATTTTGGGGTATAGTCCATCTGGTCCTGGTGATTTGAACTTGTCTAGGTTGGACAGGTGCTCACTTACCATTTTCTTGCCTATCTTAACTTGTATTTCTATTTTGTTTTTTATGGCACTAGTTTTGATAGGTTGGTCTGTTTTTTCCCTTTGTGTAAAGACAGATGCGAAAAACGAGTTAAATAGTTCTGCTTTCTCTCTGTTGCTTGTCACCTTCTTGCCACTTTCACCCACTAATGGACCAATCATTTCCTTCACTTTTTTCTTGTTTTTTACATGTTGAAAGAAGCTTTTTTTTTAGTAAGAAAGCTTTTGATCAATTAGATTGGAATTTTCTATTGAAAGTTGTAGAGGAAATGAATTTTGGAGATAAATTCTTGTCTGCTCTCAAGGCCATTTATCAACAACAATCGGCACAAATTATAATTAATGGGGGATTAACAGACGTATTTAAAATAGGAAAAGGCACAAGACAGGGTTGTCCTTTATCCCCCTTGTTATTTGTATTAACAATGGAGATTTTACTTTTTAAAATTCGAGATTCATCTAGATTAAAAGGAATAAAAATAAGTAAAAATGATTATAGGCTGAGAGCTTTTGCTGATGATTTGGTTGTGACATTATCCTATCCAACAGATTCGGTCAAAGATTTGGTTGAAATTTTAGCACAGTATGGACAGGTCTCTGGTTTTAAGGTAAATAAGAATAAAACTAAAATATTATTGAAAAATATGTCTAGGAAGGGAAAAGATTTTATAGCTGAAACAACCGGTTATGAAATAGTTAATAAGGTTAAGTATTTAGGAGTTTATATTACAACATCTAATGGAAATTTGTGTAAGAATAATTATGAGCGCTTATGGGTTAAAGTTCAAAAAGATTTAAATGATTGGCAAAAGCTACAACTATCATTATTGGGGAGAATTTCAGTAGTGAAGATGAATGTTCTACCAAAGTTTCTTTTTTT